CTGGAAGCTCTGTGAGGCTGCTTTCTCGTACCCCGTTTGCTATCGGAGACCAGGATGGTGGGTCCACACTGTGTTAGCTGGTAGGGGCCCTTTGCATGAATCTCTCCTCGCTCTCCGTTCTCTGTCAGTTTTCTCACTCCATTTGGTGCTTGGCTGAGTTTTTTATCTCTTCATTTGATGTTTTAAGGTTTCAGGATTGTTGTTTTCTCTGCTGGCTTAGTTTTTTGGATCTTTGCTGTGGAGGGACGGCATGGTGCTTCTGCCTAGAGCACCATCTTGCTGGAAGTCTGTTAAGGACTTTTGCATCTGTATTCATGGGGAATATTGGTCTCTAGTTTTCTTCTTTTGTACTATCTTTTTTAGTATGGTATCAAGGTAATACAAACTTTGTAAAATGGATTGGAAAGTGTTCTCTTCTACTTTCTGGAAGAGATTGTGTAGAACTCATGTTAATTATTCTTTAAACATTTGGTATAATTCTCCAGTAAAGCCCCCTAGGCCTGGAAATTTCTTTTTTGGAATTTTTGAAATTATTAATTCAACTTCCTTAATAGTTACAGGTTTATTTAAATTATGTATTTCATATTGAATGAGTTGTGGTAGTTTATAATTTTTTTTTTAGGAATTGGTCTATTTCATCTGAATTGTTAAATTTACATGTATTGAGTTTTTTGTAATATTCCCTTATTATCCTTTATAGTTACCATACAACTCAGTCATTGCACTCCTAGGTATTTCCCAAGAGAAAGGAAAATTCATGTCCACTCAAATATTTACACATGAATGTTCACAGCAGCTTTATTCACAATAGCCCCAAACTAGAAACAATCGAAATGTTCAATAGGTGAACAAAATGTGATTAACAAAATGTGGTACACCCATATACCAGAATACCACACAGTAATAAAAAGGAATGAATGACTGATGCATATAACAACATGGATGAATCTCAAAATCATTATACTTATGAAAGAAACAAGACACAAAAAAGTAACATAAACTATGATTCCATTTATATGAAATTTTAGAAAATGGAAAACTAGTTAATTCTGACAAAAAGCACATCGGTGGTGCTTTACAGACGAATTGCAAAGAAGCATAAAGAATCTTTTTGTGGGTGATAAAAGTGTTTTGTATCTTGATTGTGATGGTGGTTGTGGGTGTAAAAAAATGTTCAAAACTCAACAAATTGTACACTTTAAATGGATGCAGCTTATTGTTCATAAAATAGGCCTCGATAATATAAAAAATCTTCCTACAAAGAAATATTCTGGATTATTTTTATTTTCATCTTAGTTTTCTTCAATATTCTCCAAGTTAATTAGAAACTTGAAATCTGAGATATTTGGAAGGAAAACGCTACTTCTGTAAATTGGGTTTACCAGGTAGAAGTCCATGTCGAGAACAGGTCACCATAGAATGTACTACAATATAACACAGAATAATGATGATGATTAACATTATACAAATTTAATAGAGAATTAAGTACCATAAAATGTTAGTGACTGGAAATTAAATAAAAATGAATTAAAAAAAAAAAAAACCTGTTGCCATCGGGTCGATTCTGACTCATAACAACCCTATAGGACAGAGTAGCACTGCCCCATAGGGTTTCTAAGGAGCGACTGACGGATTTGAACTGCTAACCTTTTGGTTAGCAGTCAAACACTTAACCCCTGCTTTAATGAATAGGCTAACAAAAATCAGTTCCCTAAAGTGCTCAGATGTTTCAAAGATAGTTTAAGGACAAAACCAACGTCTACTATAACAAGTACTTATCTACTAATCATGCAGTGAAAATGGAGTTCATCATTATCAAATAATCACACCAGCTGAAAATAGCGAAACCTGTTGCCATCCAGTTGATTCTGACTTACAGTGACCCTACAAGGCAGAGCAGAACTGTCCCATAGGGTTTTGGTTAGCAGCTGTAGCTAGCCATAGCTCTTGACCACTGGGCCATGAGGGCTCTGCTGAAAATACAGTGCCCACTAAATTTGTAAAGAACCACTTTGGAAGCAATTTTCACAGAAGTCTGGTATTAACTCTGATTTGGATACTAATTATCCAGTTGTATGACACTTTTGTCTTTTCCATTTACTGAAGCATTAATACCTATACACTCAAATTTTTTTTCACTACAATGAAGTAACTAGAAGTTAAAAATTAATTTCTACTTCCAAAAAGGCAGTTGCAAGATAAAAATCAATTTCTTTCACACAAAACTTTGCGGAGGGCATAGCTGTTGATTACTTATCGAGAAATTCGTAAACGACTAGATCATTAAATTGAGGGCTGCAGGTATGTCCTCCCTGTTCTACCCATTCACTTGAAATCCAATGAAAGAAAATAAAAAAGAAAACATTATCTTCTCCGGAAACTGCACACGCCACGGTCACATACCTTGATTCTTGCTTTCTCTATATATTCTAAAGGGGCTTTTCCAAACTCATATCCAGCTCCAATCCAAGGAATCCAGCCCCCGATGCACGGGGGTCGACACAAGTTCTTCCACTGAAAAAGTAATAAAAGAGCAACGCAACCAAGGAGTACAATCACTGTTGGGGAAACTAATTCCATGTTTTTGTCCAGCATCTTTCAGAATCAGAAAAGGAAAAAGTCCTACTGCCCTTGCACTTGTTCCCTCCAAGTTAGAGCACCCACTGGACCTCCAAAGCTTTCTGCTGCAACTTCCGCAGCTTGTTTTCCTTTGTAACTCTACCTGCTTTTCCCCGCCTCAATTTTCAGGTGATTTTGCATCATCGCTTCTGCCCAACTCCACTTCTTTTCACGTCTGGACGCTGGAAACAGAATGACTAGGGCGGTACCGAGGCTGGAGTGGGTGGGGACTGTTCCGAGTCCCGGAGGGGGTGGGGGCGGGAGAGGGAGATGCTCTGTTGCCATGGAGACCGGGGGTTGTGGTGCAGCGGTCTCCTTGCTCCAGGCCAATCAAAGAGTGCGGCCCGGTAGGCGCGAAGCCCGGCGGACTACATTTCCCAGAACCTCGTGGGTCCCACTGTGTTTTCCTTCTGCCGGGTGCGGGGGCGGCTGGACCACTCCAGCCTGATGCTGAGAGGAAAGTCTGCAGGTTCGCTGGGCGGGTCCTGGTTGAGCCGAGCGAGGGAAATGGTCCTCGCCTGGCAGTTCGCCGGTTGAGGAGGGGCCGCCCAGGCCAGCCGGGGCGCCGGCGAGAAGGGGTGCATTGTCGTCCTGTCCTGCTGCTGAATGTCCATCCCGGAGGATGAAGAGAAGCTTCTGCCGCTCGTCCAGAGATGGCCGCGGGCGAGCAAGTTCCTACTATCCGGATGCGCAGCTACCGTGGCCGAGCTAGGTACCTGGCCGCCCACGTCAGGGCCTCCCCAGCAAGTCGCCGCGGCCTGGGAGGGGCGGGCGGCTTTGTGTAGTGTGTGTGCTGCCCGCGAACTGCGCCCTTGTGTTTCACGCCTGTCTGGCAAATGTGGCAGGGTGGGCGTAAGGCGAGCTTGGTGAGGTGGAGGGATTGGAGGGCACTGAGGTCTTTTCCCTTGGAGGCTTGGTGGCGCAGTGGTTAAGAGCCAATGCTGCTAACCAAAGGTCGGTAGTTCGAATCCACCAGCCGCTCCTGGGAAACCCTATGGGGCAGTTCTACTCTGTTCTGTAGGGTGGCTGTGAGTCGGAATCGACCCAGAGGCAACGGGTTAAGGGAGGTCTTCTCCTTCCAGTTTCGTCCCATAGTTCTTCCAGCGGTGTGTTATTGTGCCCGAATGTGTACTTTTCGAACTATGCCTCTGTAGGAATCATTTTCCCATTCCTGAGGATGACCTTTTTAGAAACACAGACCACCTTGTCCTTCTTGAGATAATCTGTTTGTAATTTATATTGTTACACAGCCTTACTGTATCATCGTCTTTTGGGTCTAAGTTGTGGACACACCTTTTGGGACTTCAATTATTAACCGATTACTTATTGAACACCTACTCAACATGGGCCAGACATTTGACCTCTTGAGCTTAACTCATCTGTAATGTAATTTATACCTTGTGGGACTCTTGAGAAGTCTGTAGTATATAAATGCTACATCAAGGAAGGGCACACATTAATTGCAACATTATTATAATTACTATAATACTAGGAACTGTGGATGCATAGCTGAAAAGAGCCAGTTTCTGATCTTCAAGGATCTTACAGGCTGGTGGGGGGACATGCAAAGACAGTTACAATGTGCTCTTTACTCTAATGAAGGTATTATTAGGTATGCTAAAAGCTTAGAGGAAAGCCAGTTACATCTGCCTGGAGGAGTTAAGAGAAAGCCTAAGAGGCCCTTTGACTCTTCACCTCAGCCACCTAGAATGGAATTATGATGACCTTGCAGGTGGTGTTTCTTCCAAAGGTTTTGTGAGTAAAGTGCCTTTGTATTACCTTTGAATTCTTTACTGTGTATTTTAATATTAACCTTTTATTTTCTTTCCCATTAAAAAAAATAGCTCTGATGCGTTATCATTGGTAAATGTTTAAGTGTGTCCTGTTGTAAAACGCATTTACCTCTCCAGTAATCCTAGCACGTTATGTTGCTTTGCCCTTTGTTCTCCTTCCACTCCTGTCCTCTGGTCCCTCTGTTTTTCTCTCTCTCTCCTCCCAAAGCTGATTGGAGAATTTTTACTATGTATTGTTTTTACTGAATAAAAATACATCAACTTTAAAAAAAAAATAAAAGATTGCTAGATGATTAGATGTAGCTTCATTTTTTTTTTTTTAACTGATTTTCCCCCTGTGACTCAATGGCATTTGTAAAGGAAAGATTAGATTCCTCCTGTTAAAAATGCCTGGAGAGAATTATCTGGAGGTAGGGGGAGGGCAGTGGTGTCACTAGGAGGGTGCGGACTGCATTGGGTCACAGTCAGGGGGTGACACCAAAATGACTGTCTATAAAATTTTTGTACAGTGTTTCAGCAGAATTTTTTAAATTTTTATAAAAATATCCCTATAATTAGTTGTAACAACAACAACAAATTTCGTAAGCCCAGTTTACACGTATCCGTATTCCTTCAAGGCTAAAACTCTATGCTAATTTACTTTTTGAACCTCTAATGCACTCCAGGAATAGGAGCCCTGGTTGCACAGTGGTTAAGAGCTAGGCTGCTAACCAAAAGGTTGTCAGTTTGAATCTACCAGCTGCTCCCTGGAAACCCTGTGGGGCAGTTCTAGTCTGTTCTATAGGGTTGCTACGAGTTGGAATTGACTCGATGGCAATGAGTTTGGTTTTTTTTGGTTAATGCACTTCAGGAGCCCTGGTGGCACAGTGGTTATATGCTGAGCTGCTAACCAAAAGGTCAGGGGATCGAGCCAACCAGCTGCTCCATGGGAGAAAGATGTGACAGTCTATTTCTGTAGAAATCACAGCCTTGAAAACCCTATGAGGCAGTTCTACTCTGTCCTGTAGTGTCGCTGTTTTTTTTTTTTTCTTTTTTTTAAATATGCTCTGGTAAGAGCTATCATTATTATCCAATTACAGGGACACTTCAGATCACCTGGTTTGGTCTGTACGGCTACAAACAACGCACTGTTGTTTTCATTGCTGCCAGTGTTTTTATAGTCTCTAATTTTGTCAGATTTTCTGGTGTTTAGCTACAATATTGTGGTAATTAGTATTTCTGAACCTATAGCAATAACTTTTTTGAGAATGAAGTAGCAATTAAACGAAAAGAAGAAAAATGAAAAAGCCTTCTGCCTAATTACCAATAATGTAATTAATAATGTAATTCAATGTAGAAAAATTTTAGAAAACGATTTTGTTAGTATTTATATAGTCTAAGAAATACTACATTTAAGCAATTTACAACTGTATCACATTATTCTATGATTAAATTGATAATAAACTTACATGTATAACAGTTATTGATTATATAACTCTGATAACAAAATAGAGAAATTGACAGTTTAAAACATGAAATGGGGAAAATGCTGTTTCTTGACGTGTGTTTAGAAATACAACTTAAATCTTAAATTCGGGTTTTTTTCAATTTTAGTCTTTTAAAAATTTTCCTTAAAAACATCACTCTTGCAATTATATATCTCACTTTAATGAAATTTTCAGGGTTAAAGTTTGAATTAGGGTTTAAAAAAATAGTCACACATTAAAAAGTGAGTTGTCAAAAGGCATTGAAGGCCAGGAAAGGAAAATTCTGATTTAGTTGAGATGTTCACTAAGTGCTAAAACGCTTTTGTATTTGTTCCTGTTTATGGTATTTCATTTATTAGTATGTTTCCATATGCATTTGTTCTATAACTTCTACATTATTATTGATTATCCAAACCTAATCCATTAATGTATCTCTTGTAATGGTAAAGTTTAATGTTAAAATGAACATAATTTTGATGTAGTTGTTAAATGTTTTGAATTCTTTTGTTTTCTTACCAAACTTTTACTTTAACCGCATGAAATTGTATAAACATAAATACATTTAGGCTGTGCGTATGATATTGTAATTTAAAGGTTAATTTTAATTTTGCTAGTTGTTTATGTCATTACTATTGCCATTACATTCAGTGATATATGGGAATTTCAATTTACAAGTAACATTAGTACAAATAACGTTACTAAGGATTCTGTATGGTCTGGTATGGAGGGAGAGGCAGTGACACCATGAGTTACTGCACTGGGTGACACCAACCCTAGTGACGCCACTTTGTAGGGTGAATCAAAATATGGAATGGTTTCAAGTACAGATCAATTTAGGATCAGAGCCTGTAGCATTATTTAAGTAACCAGCAAGAAAACTGAAATTATTTTGAAAGATGTGACCAATGCTAATATAAATCCATTGCCATTGAGTCAATTCCCACTCATAGAGACCCTAGGCTAACACAGAAGCTCCTAATTCTAAGACTTTTCAGGTTTCAAATGTCAATAAATCAATTACTTAAATTATCTATATGCAATCTACTTCTGTTGTAGGGAAACTATCGGCAAGATACTAACTTTTCCAAAGACCAGTGAGAAGATTTAATACTCTTAACCCCTCATCCCAGTCCTTTGTCTTGGAAAAGGCATAGATGGGATTTTGTAGTAGGTAGTGGTCATTGAAAAAGCTTACGTAGTGTCAGTATTGTTGACAGACTTGTCAGAACCTTGTTATTTTAGCTGTTTTGGACACTGTGTGTATAAAGTTAGGAGCTCGATCTACCTTATGTGGGCCAGTTAGCTTCATTCTGTTTCAAGGTAAAAGGTCTCTCTCTAATTCTGAATGTACATTTTAGAAAAAAAAAATTACAAGTACATTTGATACTTGTAAGAAGACCATGAGGAGGCCATGCATAAAACTCATTAGTGCCGGAAGAACAATATATGCCATAATGGAAAGACTATTGACTATGCCACTTCTACATAAAAGACAATATTATAAACTTCATATTGCATTTTCTGTATCTAAAACATCAGGTTGGTGATTCATCTGCATGTGAGCATCACCCATGAAATTCTTGAATTCAGCTTCATTCAACATTTATTGAGAACCTCAGTAAGTAGGACAGTATTTTAAAAGTTACATAGGATCTTTAAAAAACCATTGCTGCAATAAATGGGACATCACAGATAATAGAGATACTTTAAACTATTCCCCGCTGGAAAGCAAAAATTAAGGACTGAAGTAGACAGGGGACTAAAATTTCTATATAAAAAGAACCCAAGGCTTGTTACTTTTTTTTTCTTCTGGTGAATTAGAATCCATATGCATGGGGCCAGGAAATCTATAATTTTTAACAGTCTCCCTAGATGATTTTAATGTATTCTAAAGTTTGAGAACCACTAATCTTGCAGGGGAAAATAATAGTCCTATGATTTTTGAATTTTTGTTTGTTTCTCAGAATGTTGTGGGTTTTTCCCCTTGTTTTGTTTTTTATTAGCAACCTTTCCTCTCGATCTTACAAAAACTCGACTCCAAATGCAAGGAGAAGCTGCTCTTGCTCGGTTGGGAGACAGTGCAAGAGAACCTGTCCCCTATAGGGGCATGGTACGTACAGCCCTAGGGATCATCCAAGAGGAAGGCTTTCTAAAGCTTTGGCAAGGAGTGACACCCGCCATTTACAGACACATAGGTATTTATCTTAATTCTAGCTGGTAAGTTTGTTATGAGTTCTGTGTTTATCTCCTGTGCTTTTCCATTTAGCTGTGTCCAAAAAACCAGCTAGTTTTTTTACTACTATGATAAATGAGTATGTAGTCCTTTTTTTTTTCCCAAGTCAATTCTGACTCCTAGCAACCCTATAGGACAGAGTAGAACTACTCCAGAGGGTTTCCTAGGTTGTAATCTTTTTGGGAACAGATTACCAGGTTTTTTTTTTATATATAAATTTTTTTTAATTGTACTTTAGATGAAGATTTACAGAACAAATAGTTTCTCATTAAACAGTACACATACTGTTTTATGACATTGGTTAACAACCCCCACAACATGTCAACACTCTCCCTTCTCAACTTTGGAGGACTTTTTTTTTTTATTTTGGTGAAGATATACATAGCCAAAGTTACACCATTTCAAAAGTTTTTACATGTACAATTCAGTGACATCGATTACATTCTTCCAGTTGTGCTGCTATTCTCACTATCCTTTTCCAAATTATACCATCACCATTATCTTCAGCTCATTGCCCCCTAGACTTCCCATCAAACCTTTTGAGTTCCTGTTGTCAATTTGATCTCACAGAGATAATTTTTTTTTTGTACGTTAGATGAATGTTTACAGAACAGTTTCTCATTAAACAGTAAATATATTGCCCTGTGTCAGCGGTTAACAACCCCAGGACATGTCAGCACTGTCCCCTCTCAACCTTGGGTTCCCTATACCAGCTTTCCTGTCTCCTCCTGCCTTCTAGTCCTTGTCCCTGTGCCTCATTAGTCCCATTTTGTTTTATGGGGCTGTCCAATCCCTGGCTGAACGGTGAACCTCAAGAGTGACTTCACCACTGAGCTGAAAGGGTGTCCGGGTGCCATACTCTCGGGGTTTCTCCAATCATGAATATGTAGTCTCTTAAGGAGAAGAAAACTAATACCAAAAGAAAATGTTTTGTTATTAAGGAAGTACTAGCTTAAATTTTTAGAAATGCACACTGAAGTATTTAGGGATGAACGGTCATGATGTCTGCAAATTACTTTAAAATAATTAAGAAAAATAAAAGCAGCAAATATGGCAGAAATGTTAGCTATTGATAAATTTCAATGATATATATAAACTCATTGCTGTCAAATCGATTCCGACTCAGGGTTATGCCAGGTGTTACCAAGTAGAACTGCTTCATAGGGCTTTCTTGGCTGTAATCTTTATGGAAGCAGATCACCAGGCCTTTTTAGTGTGGCACAACTTGGTGAGTTTCAAGCCACCACCCTTTAGGCTAGTAGTCAAGTGCAAACCATTTGCACCAGCCAGTAATAGATATAAAACCAAAAACCTAACCTGTTGCCATTAAGTCAATTCCAACTCATAGCGACCCTATAGGACAGAGTAGAACTGCCCCATAGGGTTTCCAAGGGATGACTGGTGGATTTGAACTGCCGACCTTTTGGTTAGCAGCCAAGCTCTTAACCATTATGCCACCAGCTCCAATGATGGAGGGAGTTATATATTATTCTACTTTTCTGTATGTTGGAAAATTTTTAAAGTTGACATTAAGAAAGAAAAAGATGAATAATTGATATCATTTTTTCCACTTTAGAGATTTTAAACATCAGATTTCAGTTTTTTCTCTTCTTTGAAAATTAAAATATATTTGACTCATTAGCATGAAACTATCTTATAAGTCAGAGACCCATCTACTATGAAAGAGAACATGGATAACTGTCTAATCCAACTCTGGCAATACGTGTTTGTGCCTCAGTTCTCCAGGCTACCTGACTAATTAAGTGGGCTATTAATCACTCTTAAAATAGTGGTAACTATGCTACAGCCAATGAGAACACTTCTGTTCTGCTTCCAAAGTGGCATTCATAAGGATAGGATTTTTTAGGTTATGGATAGAAGAATGTAAACTTTGTTTCAAAAGAAGGTAGAATAAATATGGCATTTTTCTTCTCTATACTCAAAATGTTTCCTTAAGTATAAAGGAACCCTTGATCAGAAAAGTACACAGTACTAATATTCTCCAGGGTAATATTTTTAAAGCTTCAGTTATTCAGATGAGTGAGTTAGGGTATATTCTTCAAGAACGATACAGAAGTATGCATAGAGATTGTTATTATTTTTGGCACTTTTGTATATTTTTTAGTATCTTAAAATATTTCATCAGATGTCCTGAAATTTCAAAGAATGCTCCCTGTGTGAATACCATGTGTTGATTTTAATTTTTTTTTTAAATTTTCCATTCATGTTGTTTTTTTACATTTTCTCCTTTGCTTCCCGTTATTGTTTTAAGTTTCATGTCTTTTGATTCGTATTTTGTTGACCATCACATGTTGCTTTACGGTTAATCATATGCTTGGCACTTGACTGAAGAATTGTATTCGTAATGTCTCCAATGAAGTTATTTATTCAACGAAATGCCTGCTATGTACCCAGCTTTGTATTACGGTGTATAGAATAAAGAAAAGACATGGAAACTGCCTCAAGGAGCTCACAGTCTAATGGAAAGATAAGCAAGAAAGTCAAGTTAATCTTAAAACAAATGATAAATTTCATAATAGGCGTATACCTGGGTAGCTCTGGGGCAACAGAGATGTATGAGAGATGTAAACAAACAAAAAACCTACAACATTGCGGCCAAGGTCAAAGAGCACTTCCAAGAAAATATGTTTGAGTTTTGAAAGACTAGGAGGAGCTAGCCAAGCAGAGGAGGGAGAATCCATTATAGAGAGATGAGACAGTGAGCAGGAAAGGCCAAGGCTTACAAAGGCATGGCACATTTTGAGTAAATGTCAGGAAGCCCATGTGGCAGAAGCATAGAGGGCATGAGAGAGAGACAGAGCTTGAGAGACAGACTGGGCCAGATTAGAATGTCCTTTTTATTTTATTAAACATATCACTGAATTCACCTTATTAATGTTTTACATAGTGTATTCTGGAGGTCGAATGGTCACATATGAACATCTCCGTGAGGTTGTATTTGGCAAAAGTGAAGATAAGCATTATCCGCTTTGGTAAGTTTTGTTTTGAAGATAATATGCTATTGCCCCAAAGACTTTAATGTCTATCCATTATATATATGTGAAATTGTGCATTTGTACCAACATTGCCTCAGGTTATAGGCTTAAAAATAATTATAATTGAGCATTTACTACATATTGTATACAGGTATCCATATATATGTATATATTATTTAATATTCTGTATTAAAAGAAGTCTTACAGACCACCTTCCTTATTTCTTTTTCTATTGAGAAACTGTTAAGAAACTGTGAGCTTTGGAGTCAGACTGAAGTGGGCTCAAATTCCTGCTCTACTACTGTGCAGCCTGGGCAGACTACTTCAACTACATCAAGCATTTGTTTTTGTAGGATTAGATGAGATGATGAATTGAAGTACATATAGTTTATATGTATAGTTTATATGAAGTACATAAAGTTTATAACAGAAACAGAAAAAAGAATAGGTTACTGTAAATAATATGCAGAGAACTCCTAGAAATCAATAAGTAAAATACAGAGAACACAATCGGAAAATAGGGAAAGGATATCAACTGGCAATCCACAAAAGAACTATTGTTCATAAAGGAGTCCCTCGGTGGTGCAAACGGTTAACATGCTTGGCTGTTAACTGAAAGGTTGGAGGTTCAGATCCATCCAGAGGCACCTCAGAAGAAAAGCCTGGCAATCTACTTCCAAAAAATCACAGCCATTGAAAAGTAAAAAAAAAAAGTAAAAGACACAGACATATAAACAATTAGAATGGTGTGAAAATTACAGAGGAGGAAGTGGTTATGAGATTCACAAAGAGGAAAAAAATGATAATGTACTGTGCTCATCCTTGTGTGGAGAGACAGGCACTCTCCTATTGGTACAAGGTCTATGGAAAGCAATTTGGCAGGAGATATCAAATGTTATGTAAATGTTCAAATTTATTAGTTTAAATTTATGCTGGTTCAATAAACTATGGCCTATAAAACTATTAAATGAATTAGGTAGCTCTTTATGAAGTGATGGGGATAACCTTTAAGATATACTGTTAGGAAAAAAATCAAAATGCAGAACAGTTCTTTGTGCTTTTAAAAGGGTATATTTATATATATATATGCTTATGTATGCACAGACTATCAAGTGTAACTTGGTGAAAAGTGTGAGTTCTGGACTCAGACTGCGTGGATTTATATCTTGGCTGTACTACTTACTAGTTGTGTGATTTGGGCTGTCGTTTTACTGCTCTATGCCTCAATTTCCTCATCTATAAAGAGGATGTGACAGTTGTACTTACATCAGAGGGTTGGTATGAGGACTAAATGATATTTAAAAAATGCTCACAACGCCTGACATGTAAACATTAAGTGAATGTGTTAGTGTCTCTGGGAGGGCATGTAAGAAACTAGTCATTGTGATTGCTTTGTGGTGGGGGAGAGAACTGGAGATGGGGGTCAGAGAGAAATTATACACGTGTGCCTCTTCAAATATTGTTTTACAGTAAAAGGAAAGATAATACCTAATCTTCCAAGAGACTATTGCAGTAATCTAGGTAAAAGATGATTGGATCCTGGCCTGAGACAACAGCAGCAGGAATGGATAGAAGATGGATTCAAAACATGTTTAAGTATAATAGTCTAGACTTGGTCACTTTTGACTCTGGGAGATGAGGAGGAGGAGTAGTCTAGGAACAGAAAGAGTTTCTTCAGAGAGAGGAAAGTTCCCAAATTCTTCACTTTAGAAAACTACTAAAGTAGTGGTTTTTAAAACTTCACTTACCAGCCTTGGTCTATTAGGCTAATTCCATCTGTGCTATTTTTACTCTCCTATGGTCACAATTAAATTGTAATTAGATTATCAGTTCAGATGTTTTATTTTAATTCCTTGTGGTTGTTTGGTGCCCTGGTGGCTCAGTGGTTAAGAATTCTACTGTTAACCAAAAGGTCTGTAGTTTGAATCCACCAGCTGCTCCTTGGAAACCCAGTGAGGCAGTTCTACTCTGTCCTGTAGGGTCGCTATGAGTAGGAATCGACTCCATGGCAATGGGTTTTTTTTTGGAGGGTTAGAACCATTCTGGGATTTGTTTGGATTTTTCACTTTGTCTTTAAATCTTTTACCTAGGGCAGTAACATCCATAGAGGGGTCCCAGGTGGCCCGTACCCCCGACACTGTCAGAGATGACACTAAAATGACCCCAGGGTCCGAGGCAGCCGCGGCAGATGGGCCAGTGCCGCGGGGTAGGGGCCACCAAGGTAGTGGTGTCACTGGGGTTGGTGTCACCTATCACCCAGTGCGATAACTTGTCATCCTCCCACTACCCGCCAGTCACTAGGGTTGGTGTCACCCAGTGTGGTAACTCGTCAGCACCCCCACCCCCGTCACCTGCCAGTCAGGGTGCAGGTGATTGGCCACAGTGCCCGCCATTGGGTGGAGAGGAGGGTCTCTGCCTTGGCCAATGGCAAAGGGGAGGCGCTGCGGAAAGCCATGAGGGGTGGAGCAGGGAGGGCAGAATATTTGGCCCTGTGTCGGGGATGGGGGCGCACAGGGCGGCTCCTCCCACCAGGGGATGTTCACTGGC